TTCCAACGACAACTTCCATTTTCAACAATTTTCCCATTGTTATAATCAACCTATGATCTTTCATTCTGCACTGTTTGTGCATAGTTGCCTTATTTCTTTCTTGAATCGGACGATTCATAGATGGGATCTATTTGAGCCGAGTTACCTTTTTATACATGCATACGTTCATGTCCCTTCAAAACACTTTCCGGCTTTTGGTAACCGAATAAAAAAAAGAAAACTTTTTGCTTTTAATACTTTTCTCAGTTATTCGAAAGATATGCGTTTCTAACCAGAGATGCCATACACGCACAAAATGCTACACAACAGTTGAATTTTTTCAATGTTATTTTTTAAACAAATTGGCCGAATGATACTTGTACCGACGTCATATATTATGAAGTATGGATAATATAAATTTATGATTACAAGATCTAACCAATTTAGATCCGATCCTCCAAAATCATGCTTGCCATAAAAAGTAAACTAATTTCCAAAATTAAACGCGGGGAAATTTCGATTCTTGAATTGCATTAATTACAGTAACATGTGCAAAAGAAATTTACAGCGATAAGGGCATTTTCCACCCACCGCCAGGGTCACTTTCGTCATTTCAAACCTTTTTACGCAGGCAAAGGCAGCCCTCGCTCCGCTCCTCCGCATTATTTTAGTGTTTCAAAACCCGCGCGCGAAATCCCGCTTTTTTCTCCCGCGCCTTCCCACCACTCACGCGCCTTCTCCCTCTCCTATATTTCTCTCCTCTCTCACTCTCTCAACCTCTCTCTCTCTCTCTCTCTCTAGACATCTCAATCTCCAAAATCCAAAACCATGCAGCAGCGCCACCACCAACCCCCAAACCAACCCCATTTCTCCGCCGCCTCGGGTCCCGCCACTCCGTTCGGCTCCCTCGCCATCCTCCCTTCTTCCAGCTCAGAGGCCAAGCGCGGAAAGAGGCGCGGCAGTTACAGCTGCGGCCGATGCGGCCAGCCGAAGAAGGGCCACAAGTGCCACCTCCCCGCCAACTCCACCGCCGATGAATCGTTCGTCGATGAGGCGTCCTCTCCTTCTCTCTCCGTCACCCGCCCCCCTCCGCCGCCACGTCTGCCCTACTCCCACCTCCGCCGAGCGCTATCGTTCGATGACGATGTGGATAGTTCTGGATACGGCGGAGGAGGCGGAGACTTTGACTCTCCGGATCCGGACCCTGACGAGTTCGGAGACTCCGGGGACGATATAGATTTGGCTACGGGTTTGGGCGGTCTGCCGGCGAGCTGTCTTTGGGATATTTTGAAGAGGTTGCCGCCGCCGGGGCTGTTGTCGGCGGCGATGGTGTGCAAGGGGTGGAGGGAGACGACGAGGAGGCTGTGGAAGGCGGCGGAGATGCTTAGGATTAGGGTTCCGGCTAGGGCTCAGGTCGGGTTTGTTGGATCGGTGCTGCAGAAATGCCCGGGCCTCGTGAACCTCTCTCTTAGGATGGAAAGGTATTGCTGCTCTCTGTTTCAGATCTAGGGTTTCATCTGACAGATCTGCTTACAGCGATGAGCTTTGAAGACTAAACAATCTAAACCGAAAAAATGAACTCGATCTGGATTAAAACTGAAATAAAGGAAAAAAATAATAATTAAGGGATCAAATGAATTGGGGTTTTGATGAATGCAATTGGTAGAATTATAGTGATATGATTTGATCTATAAGGATTTGATGTGATGCAGCATTCTTTTTCGGAATCAGCAAGCTACATTGTGAATTCTTGTTATTTAAATAATGCATTGCGTTTAATTTGATAAAAATTTGCTGTTGCAGTGATGTGGATGCAACATTGCTGGCGTGGATTACATTTTCATGCCCAAATCTTGAGTTCTTGGAGATCAATACTACCGGAAGCGCTATCAATCGGATCACCGGGTATGTTTCCTCTTCTTTGTTACCTTCTATGTTCCGTTTTTCGCATGTTTAATCGTTACTGTTGTCTTAAACGATAAACCATTGAGCTACTGTTGTATTGGGCATTTAGATTGGTATTGTTGGCTGATTAATTCAATCCATTCCATGATTTTAAACTACAGTGATGAACTGGGTCGCTTCGTTGCTGATAGACGATTACTGAAAAGCCTTCAGATGGAAGGTTGTTCTAACTTGGGTGGATTTGCTCTCTGTTCATCAAGTCTTTCTACAATTTGGCTTTCGGGTCTTCACTCCCTCTCTAAGATGGTGATTATTTTTCTCTTTCCTCTTTGTCTATCATGTAGTTGCTGATTTGTTGTTTCTGTTTCCATTTATTGTTAAAAGACTTCTCTTTTACTAATTCACACTCCCTTTTCACAGGTTTTCAATTGCCCCAATCTAAAAGAGATTTCTGTAGACTTTTCTCGCCAAGAAAATGATAGTACTGATCTTGTTACCATGGCTGACGTGCTGGGAAGGAATTGTCCAAGGTTACAAAACATACACATTGCATCAATCCGGCTTTCCAACGCTGTTGTGCTTGCCCTTACAGCCGCAAAGCTAAGGTTTGCCGCTGAATTTGTTTTGAGACTAATCTTATCATATAAATTTGCACAATTAGTATCATGAAGATTGTTTGATCATGCCATCCAGGGGGTTGAGAATGCTTTCTCTTGTCCTTGGGTCTGAAATCACCGATGCCTCTGTTGCTGCCATTGCTTCGAGTTACCAGAACTTAGAATTGCTAGATCTGAGTGGGTAAGTTTACAGTCCTATGGTTCAATTGCAATAGTCTTTGAAGTTAAGATTTGATTGTCTGGTATGTACAATGTTTGATTGTAGTGTTTTATTGCTTTGTAAAACATCTCAATCTATAGGACTAGACTTGAACATTAGAGAAATGCTGCTTATGATCCTGAAAGCAGAAAACAAATTTGTTTAATGAGCATAGTTGGATATGTATAGTTGAAAATTATAGCTTCTCTCTACTCATTCTTTCTTTGAGATGTAATGTTTGGCTCTCCACTTTGATTACAGATCTAGCATCAGCGATAGTGGCATTGGAATGATTTGCAACGTGTTCCCTGATACTCTATCGAGACTACTCGTTGCTCTTTGCCCTAATATCAGTTCAAGTAATCACCCAGACCATGGATAAAAACTGATAATTGATTAGTTTCACAAAAACTTTAGTTCACTAACTGTTGCCTGTACTATTCAGGTTTCATTCAATTTGCTACTGCACAACTGCCTCTGCTTGAACTCCTGGACTGTGGCATGACCATATGTGATCCTAATTCTCCCCTTTCACCCTCTGATGAAACCAATGCCCGTGAACTCCCCGAAGCATCCAATGCCAAAGTACACCATAGTTACCAGAAGCTGATTATCAAACATGCCCGGTTGAAAAAACTGAGCTTGTGGGGTTGTTCTGGTTTAGATGTGAGTTCCTGAACTAGTACAAGTTAATACTGAATTTTGTTTTCGTATAGTTTCTTTTCTGGTTCTTAATTTTCAATCTGATGCAGGCTCTATATTTAAACTGCCGAGAACTCAATGACCTGAACTTGAATTATTGCAAAAATTTGTACCCAGGTATCCCATTTGATCTCCTCACCTTCGCTAGGGTTTCGATCAATTCTTTATATGGTGAATTTATTCTTATAGTTTAGTGATTGTTGTTTGTATTTATTCCCAGAGAGATTGGTGCTTCAGTGTCCCAAGTTAGAAAATGTGCATGCATCAGGTTGTCAAGAACTGTTGATTGGGGCCATTCAGAGCCAGGTAAATCACAAGTTTCCTCTCTATTTGGACACCGTTGATCGGTTTTCTAAGTTCTAATGTCAAATCAAACCCATGTAAAGGAAGCGATCTGATCTCGCATTTATTTTGTATTTGTTTGTAGGTTGATAACAATGCTGGTGCGGATAACCTATTACCATGCAAGCGCCTAGCTGATGGCTCGAAGAGGGTTGGGGTGCCTCATTTTCTCAGCGCTGCACAGGTAATGCCCAAACTCTAAAGTTTCTGCTCTTATAGTTTTGGATCATCCCTATATACATTTCTGTAAACATTTATGGTTTTCGTTTGTTTTCGTTGCAGCCATCAGACGATGATAAGAAGCGAAGAAAGATCGAGAGGCGGAAGTGCAGTGTGCTTGTATTGTGAGCAAGCTCTTGTTTGGTGCCGTATTGGTTTGACAAGGCTCTGTATTACCCTGTAAACATTATGTTTTATTATCCTTAATCTCATTAGGGTTGGGGGCTGTTGCCTTGTAGTCCTATTATTTGCCTTTTCTTTCAAGAGAACTAAATGTTGTTTTTAGCTTCAGAACTACTTAGTCCATTTCCAAATTGGAGAGACTTTGGAACAGGCGGCCTAGGATTTTATAAATTGTTTTATTTGGGAAAAAAAAATAAAAAATTTGTTGTTTTAGTGCATTTTATGTTCTATTTTATTTAATTCAACTACTAAAAATAATATATATTGATAGTTATGTCGTCAATATTTATATATATTGATTGTAGATTAATCTTCCTTTTCATACAGTTAGAATATTACATTAAGCAACAACGTATCTTTAGCTCTCGAATTATATAGTATTCCAAAGTAGTATCTTCAAAAAATGCATTTGTAGGGTGGGAGCAAGTTGTAAATATTTACTTTAAATGAAAATAAGGGGCATGCATGCACATAAGCAATTCTTTGGGTCTCATACATGTTACATCAGCATAACAAAAAACTAAACGTTTTTAATGGGGGTAATGTCAGGAAGATTAAATTTGTAAACAAAATTTTGTAAAACTAAATAACATAAAAGTTGATGATTAGAATATATCTTAAACGTTGATAAACGTGCTAATTCTTATTGGTGACACATACAAATTTTGTTTAAAAATTAGTTTTTTTTTAGTATTACTCGGTAAAAGTGAGATGAGACAACAAAATTTGAATTAGGGGGAAAGTTGGATCAAAATAATATTAGGGAGCAAAGTGGGACTCCAAACAACTTTCTGGGTAACACAGTAATTACGCCTTTTAAAAAGGGACGGTATTACGTGGATACTCGTGGCACTTGCAAGTGTAACTCAAACATCCGAAATCCATCTGGAAAACAAGACAGGTTTCTCCGACCCGACCTCCTCAACTCCGTATTCTCAAACTCTCTCTGTCTTTCTGTCGTTCTTCGGCCATGGAGCTCTCTCTGTCTTCCGCAACCTCGAAGGCTCACACGTATAATTCCTCACCAGGTTTCTCTTTCTTTCCTCTCTCATGATATGATTTATTATTTTCTCGTGGGTTCATACAATTTTATGTTTTTATAATTTGATAAATATATGGACATACCCACCACTTTGATTTGTAAGTTTCTAACTGATTATTTTGTTTTTGATCGTTTTTTTCAATACAATGTTGAGTAATTTGATGTCGAATTCAAAACTTGCCCCTCCAAATTATATGATGTTGTTAGCAGAATCATATTGGCTTTAGAAGAAGCTAGCTAGCTAGTTAATGACATGTTTAATTACTTGGAATTCGTATTGAATTATTCCGATTTCTGACTTTTCGTGTGGGAGGGTTGCCCAGTAACACTATATGCTCATATGTCATGTGTATAGAATTTATCCTCATGATTTTTGGTAGCAGATTCACAGTGATTATATGTCACTTTTTCGGTTAATAGATTAGAGTGACTTGCTTATCTGCAGAGCTGTTTCTGCTTGGAAAAGCAAAATTTCCGACATGGGATTGTTATTTTCCCTCTCCTTCGCGAGCTAGGAGAATAGCGAAGCCTTTATTTGCTCAACCTGGAGCCCTCTCTGCCAAGCATAACCCTGTCAAGGTTTGATGGTACTTTCTTTTCTGGGGAGGACTATTAAGCACTCGTTTGGTAACCGTTTCGTTTTTAGTTTTCGCTATCTTGCTAGAGAAAAAGGTTATCAAACCGGCCCTTCTGTAAACCAAAAAATGTTTTGAGATTTTCTAATTTTTTTTATGCACACTTTATAGGTTGTATGTTGTCTAAAGAGAGAAGCTACTGTAGTAGAGGGAAGGTATGCCATCTTCAATGTTGGAAGCTATAACTCACATCTGCTTTTATGGCCATTGCATTTGATGGTTAAACAAGCAAAGCTTTCCTGGTTTTTTTGTATGTATATACACCTTACTTTTGATGAATCACAGTTGTTTCTGTTTCTTTCAAGGTCTATGCATGAAGTATATGATGCTTTGGCCGCACGTCTTGTTCCTACAGCCGCAGCAATAGGGAATCCAAACTTGAAGTAAGTTAGCTTCCGATTTCCTATGCATGCTATAATCTTTAGACATGAGGGACCATGAATGTAGTTTTGGTTTTCTGGATTGTATATGGATTTTACCTTTTTGAGTTGTTTTTGGTTTTCATGCTGATTTTACTTGTTACTCTTCAAAGTTATAAATCTGTCTGATGTACAATGCAGGTATATTGTGGGTTTGGCTGGTTCTCCTGGATCTGGGAAAAGCACTACTGCGTCTGAAGTTGTGCGACGTGTAAACAAGTTATGGCCCCAGAAAGCTTCTGCATTGGATTCTCAAGTTACTCCTCCAGAAGTGGCTGCAGTTCTCCCCATGGATGGTTTCCATCTTTATTGTTCTCAGCTGGATGCAATGGAGGTTAGCCTTCTTTTGATATTTTGATTTCTGTAGTCCATTGCATTTCTTGTGGATGGCAGTCTTAGCGTAGTCTAAGAACCTTTCGAATCGATAATGTGGATAATAGTGTAAGCCAAAATTAGCAATTTTAATTATCCTGTCTTCTTAAAATGTATCTAGCTGGTAATTAAAATTAGCAATTTTAATTACCACCCTATGGACCAAAGTTATGGTTGAAACAACATTTGTTTGGGTTTCGTATTCAAAACAAAACATTATAGATGATAAAAAAATTTTGATTCCTAATTTTCTGCAATGTTGTAATATCTTAGAATCCCGAGGAAGCTCATGCAAGAAGGGGAGGTGAGGTTTCTATATTTTGCTGTTGATGATTTGACACCTTGAAATAATTAAAGCTTCAATCTTACGAATTGGTGATTCAGCTCCATGGACCTTTAACCCTGAGCTACTACTCGAGTCTCTCAAGACTCTGAGAAGTGAGGTGATTAGTTGATAATTGATGCTCACATGTTACAATCGCCTCAAGTTTAGAAGTATGCTATGCATTCTAACAGAAACATTGTTTCAGGGATCAGTTTATGCACCGTCATTTGACCATGGTGTTGGAGATCCAGTAGAAGATGATATTTTTGTGACCCTTCAGTGAGTAGTTTGTTCCTTTTCACATGAATTGTCTTTTAATACCAGCTAAAGAAATAGGCAGGTTGTGAGCAATTATTATGGTGGTCTTAAAATTATGTCATTTTGATTCTTTCATCTTTGATGAGTATGTTCGTAACTTATTAATTTCTATTTGCAGGCATAAAGTGGTCATAGTAGAAGGAAATTATTTATTGTTGGATGATGGGATTTGGAAAGAAGTATCATCTATGTTTGACGAGAAGTGGTAAGCATTATTTATCAAAAGATATATTTTGTGCAAAACTGTATGTTAAAGAGGTCAGATGGTCTGGTTCTGCTATGCATCCAGTATAATTGTGGATGTGTGGCGGAGACCAATATTCAGAAAATGTCACGGTGAAGAACTTCACTGGGCTTGTGTGGCTATGTTATGGTGCAGCCTTAATCTGTTCAATAAGGTGTGTCGGGAGGACAGATTAAGTCTTCCTTATTTCATAGATTAAAACTTTGATCGTTGGATTACGATATATAAATTTGGCACAGCCCTTTTTCAGATGTATGCTTATAAATTTTGTTGAGCATTGGACTTTAATCATGGAATACAAAACGCATACGACTTTCATGATGGAATAGTTATTTAGAAATTATGCTTGTAAGGGCTCTAACACTAAGCAGCACCTCTTGCGACACTGTATTTAATCACTTGTTCTTTTGAAAACCGAAATTCCACTTATTCAAGGGTGTCATTGAATGCTATTGTTTGTTGCTTTTCCCTTGAAGGTTTCTTGAAGTTGATATTGACAAAGCTATGGAACGAGTTCGAAACAGACATATCTTAACGGGTACATGATCCTTAGTTTTTGAACCACCTACTTGCGAAATGGGACATGTAAAAACATGACATGGTTTAATTGCTTTCTTTATCTTCTGCAGCAGGGAAGCCTCCAGATGTTGCCAAATGGCGGGTAAGCTTCATGGTTTTCCGAGACACGAAGTTCCGATTTTTTTGTTAGTCTAGAGTTTTCACTAAGACGTTGCTTATGACACTTCATTCATCGTGTAGGTTGAGTACAATGACCGGCCTAATGCAGTGACAGTAAACAAATCAAAGAAGAATGCTGATTTGATAATCAAGTCAATCGACTACTGAAGCGTGAAGGTGATCCCGTCCCGCTGGTTGCATTCCAACCCCATTTATGCATCCCATTTATGCAAATTGAAGGCCTATCTTCATTTTCCTTGGAAGATATGAACTGGGAAGTAATTTATGCACTCCAAAATGCTTTCACTTATGAGGGTAAGAAGTTACTTTTGGAACGCAAATAACACATCCCATGAGTAAAAGTAACTGTGTATTTGATGAATACAAGATTTATGAAAATTTTGCACAAATGGCGCCTAAAACTTTCCCATTTTGTGCAATCGCTACCTGAATTTAAAAAAAATTTACAATTAACCATTCAAACTTTCATATTGTGTTACCATTTGGCACATAAGTCCGTTTTTATTTACCTTTCAAGTGTGTTTTCGTCACTTCTCTCTACTAAGGGTTTTTCGGATTCTTTTTTATATAACTTTGACCGTTTTACGCACACATTATTCTTTTTTATACATGCGATATTCTAATTTAAACGAATTTAAATTGCGGAGAACGAGATTTTTCAAACTTGGGTCCATATAGGGAATATATCAGCAATAACCAATGTGGCTACATTCATGTTTGTTACACATTGTGTTCTTTTTAATACCTACAATATAATACACACTAAGGTAGAAATGCGTTTTCTCTATCTTCTAGTTTCTCTCTCCAGATCAGAGCCTCTTCTTTGACTTCAACTTTTAGCCGTCGCCTTTGCTCTTGCATGGGAATAGGCTGCAACCTGCTACCTCCTCATCTTTCCCGTCTCCTTCTTCCCTCTTCTTTCTCTCTTTCTCTCCTTCCCTCCTTTGCCTTTTTCTTATTTTCCTCCCCTCTCACTTCTTCTGCTCCATCCCCTTCCCTGCATCCATCCCTTCCTTTCCTCTTTCCAGTCTTCTTCTTTCGTTTTATTCCTAGTTCTTTATGAGTTTATCTCTGTTTCTGAGCTGGGTCTCAACTATTCCCTGAGCTTGTTTCAGATCTGAGCTTCATGCCCTTTATCCGGCATCTTTTGCCTAATTTTATTGCTTTTTGTCCTCCCTCCTCCTTAGCTGTGATATTACATCCTTATCCCACTATGTACTCGGATAGGTAGGCTTTAATCAAGAGATGGATACCAAATCTACTACCCTCCTTCACTTCCCATCCCCTAACTGGCATACCTATGCCGGATTCCTATCGAGGCCAAGTGTTGGGTATTTTACATACCCCTAGCCTCACCTTATATCCGTATGATACTTTATTTGTATATATTTGCAGGAGTTCTTAAAGGGGGTTTGGATCTGGTGTCTACTTTCTTGGTCCGGAGTTTGGCTTCATGTGAGGATATGATGGCAGTGGCGATGTGGTCTTTGCTGCTGGAGATTAGGGTTCTTTACTTTCTGTTTTCTACTGCATTCAGCCCTAAACTTATGTAGGTCTCCTGTTGTATCTTGGGTTGCTGCTCTCATTTTGCTTGGGCCTTTTACTTTCTTTGTAGTTGTTTACTCGGTCCTTTTTGGGCTTTGTACTAATTCTTATCTTAATGAAAGTGGACTTTTTGATAAAAAAAAAAAAAATACACACTAAGGTAACTTTTACTTGTTTTGCTATAACATTATAAAGTATTTAGTAAAACATTAAATCATATTAGAAATAGCAAAAATCCCTTTCCAAAGTCAAAGGGAATAAATCTAGCGAAGCAAAAAAGAATGGCCACGCATGTATAAATTAAATGCCTCCATTAACATGCACATGCTCCTGTTCCCTCTATATGACTCTATCAACGACGTCCTGGAAAGCATTCCCAATTAAGTTTAGCCCCTTATTCGTACAACTTTCATTTATATCTAAATTCCTTCCTCCTGTTAAATTTCTCCAAATTTCATCCATGCTGTCGTTAGTTTGGAATTCACACTCGTAATTTCAAACAAGTGGTTAGGAGAGAGCACCCCATGTCCATTTCATTGTATTTGTCGTCCGCCATCGGCACATCGCCTCACCTGATCATATCAGGATTTTCATAGCGGTAGGTGGGCTACCAGAAGGTGGGGTTGCGGGGAGGATGGAAGGGGGATTTGGGTGGCTGGTGGTTTGAGGTTGAGGGTGGGAGAGGAAGGGGGAGGGGGGTTACACTCGGGTAGCACTAGGAGAGCAAGAGCAACAGAGATAAATGGGAGGCTGGTTGTTTGTGGTTTGACATGTTTCCTTTTTTTTTTTTCCCAATAATTTATTTATTTATTTATCTTATGAAATGATAGTTTGCCCTCTAAACTAACGAAATCATAGATGAAATTTAGAGAGACTTAACTGCAGGGGGAATTAAGCTATAAATAAAAATTTAGGGGGTAATTAACCAAAATTTAAGTTCAGGAGTTAAATTGATAGCTGATTTCAAGTTGGAGAAAATCGACGTATACCTCTAAAATTACACACAAAAGCTAAACGCAACAAATTAATCACATGTTACATTACTTAGGCAAGCCAATTATTAATACTAAACAAGCAAACACCAAGCCGTCCTTGAGCGTACTTAAGATCGATCGATCGAGTTTAAATGGGTCTATCCATGGTAAAAACTCAAAGTCTAAGTATCTCACTTCAAATAATTACACATATAATTAACGATCAAACCATATCCTTAATTTTACAAGCAACCGTATCCAATCATCAGAACAACCTGCTCAATCCATCAGCCCGTTTTCGATGGTTTTCGATTTGTTTCGCCTTGACCGCGACGACATTAAAGGAGCAGGCTGTAATGATTATTCGTTACTAGTACTTCAGCTTCTGTTCTTGCATTTCTCCATGGCTCTTGGTGCTGAAAATATTACAATCAACAAGTTTTAGTAAGCTAGTAAATTAAAGGACAAATATGATTCATGGTGGTTAATTAGCTCTATAGTGATTGAAGATAGATACTAACCGAGCCCAACAGCCTCCTTGCTCTTCATTATACGCAATCTCTTGCATGATTCAACAAACATCCTGCTTGCACGAGAGAAAATGTTAACTAAAATAAATAATTTTTTTGTCGACAGATCATTAGTAGTTAAATTGTTAAAAGTTAAGGGCGAGGAGGGGGATAGGTGGGGATCTAACCTGCACTAAAGTGCATAGGTATTATTGTTTTCCATTACTGTGGTAAAACGCCATCTAAAGTTGAATATTCAGGGGTTTTGGTAAACAATTTATTTCAATTCTTGTTCTTATTTTTGTTTTTAAAAAATAAAAAAAATTGTTTGGTAACCAGATACAATTTTCAGAAAATATAAACTGATTTAAATGAAGTCAAATTTTGAAAACTAACAAAAATAACTTTCAGATTTTAATTTTCAGTTTTGAAGAAAATGAAAATTGATAATAACTACTAAACAAATTTTCAAAGTTAAAAAAAAAAAAAACTGAAACTAAAATACTTATGCAAAGACTTTTTGGTGTTCCCAAAAATTCTCTTTTATCTTAAGAAAGTTTATTTCCTAGCAAAAAAATAAAATAAAATGAAAAGACTTGTTGAACTAGCTAGCTTAGCTAGGGTTGGAATTATTTAGAAGAGAGATGCTAGAAAATCTCTTTTAAAGTGGGACTGGACTCTCCACTACCTCATGTTTTTGACATAATATTTTATAATGTTGATATAGATAATGTGCTAAAAACATAAAGAGATGAAAATTTCAGTCTCACTTTGAAATAATTTTCTTATCATTTCTCTTGTTTAAAAAAACTTACTCCCACGGGACATCGCCAACCAGCATCCAATCACCATCCTTGTCTTCATATGTTGGAGTGTAATCAGAACCGTTGAGAACATCCATCAGCTTGCTCTCATTCATGAAGTCCTTCATTCCTTGGGATCCACAATTTCCTTCAATGATTGAAAATTTTATAACATTACTCCCGAATATCATAATAATCGAAAATTTAACAAACAAATAATGCATTAACATGGTCCAAAAATATAAGAGAAGTGATTCAGCACACCCCTTTCTCCTTACGCATCCGTATTTATTTTTAGAGGTTAAATTGATCAAATCTAAAAAAATTGAGGGACAAAAATTTAACAGAGTATGCATAAATCGTTTTTCAAAATATAAATATAGTAGTTACCAATGGTGAAGGAGCTGAACATTTTGGCTAGGGCATCAGAGAGCTCAGGGTAACTCTTGTACATCTTCAAGTCGACCTTGCGAAGGTAGGGTGCACCATCCATGCTAACCTTCACCAGAACTGCATTATTATTGCCACCCTTGTTCATCTGCTCACTTTCTCCGTCATTTGAGCTCTTTTGCACCCCCGTGAACATGTTCTTTCGGAAAGAACGCACCGGTGGCCAACCCACGACTTGTGCCCTATTAATTAATAGTAATATTAGATAATTCCATGCCTAACATCATGTTCAGATACTGTGTTTTATTCCATTATTGTTAAACCGATTATATTTAAAATGAGCATTTGTAAGCTCAAGTTATTAAGAGTATTTGGTTTTATTGAAATTCTATATAAGCATGTTCAATTCTCTTCTCTCCAACATCGGTTGTATCAAAGAAAAAAAAAAGATTATTATAGGAAGACTTTGGATGTGGTCCCTAGCTATGAATATTCTTTGATTGAAACCTTGTTGGTTTTTAATTTTTGATTGAAGTCCTTGAAATTAATATGATAATTTATTTCTATGTACATTACTATATTTTTTAAATTAAAAATAATTTTTTTTAGTTGTTTATATAAATGAGATTTTAAATAAAAAAATCATAATTTGTGGGATTAAAAATATTAAAATATATATATATACTATTGTGGTTGGGTGTGTGTGTATATAAACATGGGTACATTCATCAAAATTAACCAAAAAATTATTGTAAAACATGGGTATATTCTTCAAAATCACAAAAAAAAGAAGATATTAAGCTTAATAACATTAGTAAATTTCTTCGATTAAACTTGACATGGACATTTTAAAATCAAAGAAAAAAGAATGTACCCATATAAGCTTAAAAATGGATTAGAAAAAAATTGAATAGATTTTATATAAAAAAAAGAGGTACATTTTACATATAACAAATTGGTATATTTAAGAATAAGTACATTTTAAGATTAAAAATTTGAAAAAAAATACATGAATGGGTACATATAATTAGAATGGGTACATTTGGCAAAATAAAAAATGGGTACAAATAAATTTAAAAAAAATATGGGTACAAATACAAATAAAACTTTAAAAAAATATGGGCACAAAAAGAAATTAATATATAGGTACAAATTAAAACTGAAAAGAAAATTGGTTCAAATTAAAAAGGGTTAGAAATTAAAAATGGGTACAAACTAAAACTAAAAATATATGATAAAAAATTTAGTCATAAATATAAATATACTAATTGTAAAATTTTAAACATT